ACCTCATTTTAATAATAGATATTTTCATTTGTGATGTTACGTATAGTAGTTTCCATCCCTTTAAATACAAAGAATTTAGATCCGCAGAATATAGTTACATTTGAAATAGTTATTGGAAATAAAAATTATCGAAGGTTCCCCCGAGCGAAAACGAAAATATGCACTTTTTTTTTTGTTTTAAATCTGTCGAGTGTGCTGGAAATAAATTAATCCGGATATTAAGCGCGTACCTCTGAGGGTGTCCTTCCTCTGTGGAGTCGCGCGATTCTGTTGTTCGAGAGATCGAGCAAACGTAGCTCGCGCAGGCCACGAAGTGACGCGAATGAAAACTCGCGAAGCTCATTGTGCGTCAAGTTCAAACACTTGAGAGATTTGAGAGGGTAAAGAACACTACTGCCCCCATTTCCATCGCCATTATCACTACCTGTGCTGGCCAACGATTTTAGAGAATTATGTCCCAGCTCCAAGTCTTCTAACATCTCTGCCTCTATGAAATCTTCTTTCGTCAACTGAGAACAAACATTTTGCTTGATGCAACATTGTCACTCGTAATGTATCTTATCATCTATCTATCGAAGATCTTGTTAATCACTACTTTTCCTTTTTCAGAGTAATAATATTAATAGAATAAGATAGTATTAAATAATATTAATTGACAACGATCTCTTCCCAGAGGAAAGACAACTTTCCTTCATAAAGCAGCAAGTAACGAGCAAAGGCTGTCAAAAGTTGTCGCTGGAAAAAGATCGTATCATCTATTAAGAGTGAAACCTTTGTGGTTGATTCAAAAAAGCCGATCAAACGTCGAATTACGGCGAAGACCATCGAATGCCAGACGTCCATCGCAATAAAAGTTTAATCCACGAAACGAAAGCGTACGACATAATAATTACATTAGGTAGCTACATTAGGATGTAGTAATTGACTTAATGCATGGAACATTGAACGAACGCCTCCACGAGTTATCATACATCTTGATCGTGCACTTGCACTTCACATATGGGTACATCTGCGTGTTCTACAGGTCACCGTTGCGTCGACATCAACGCATTTTATAAACTATTTAAATGTAATATTTCAGGCCGAATCGAGCCACGCATTTCTCGCATTTTCAACAGCGTAAGAGAATTTCAAAGATGTGTGATATTTGTACTTAAACTGCCTTTTTTGTTTAACGACCATTTTTTTATATATAGAACAGAAAAGCAAATAATTTATCATGAGTATATGTTTGATCATTGATTACCTCTTGCAGATCGTTGTACGAAAGTTCGAGAAACTTCAGTCTACGAGCCTTTTGCAGCGTGCCATCGAGACTGCGAATTTTATTGTCCTGAAGATACAGACTTTCCAAACGATGCAGGTAGCGAAATTCCGCCGGCAAGTGAGTTAATTTATTGTCCACGGCGTAGAGCATCTTCAGGTTGTGGCCAGAAGATGGTAGCTCGCCGTCCAGAGATGTGAGCTCGTTGGCGTTAATTAGCAACCACTCCAACTGATTCAAATCTCTGAAACGAGATTGAGCTACACAGATGGCAACAATGCTCTCGTTCCCATAAAATTAGGAAAAAAAAAAAAAAAAAACAAAACAAACAAAAAAAGGAAACGAATCTTCGTCTGCCTCGATCGAGCCAGAAATTCCTCTGACATTCTTTTTTCCCTTTTCTCCCCTTTCTTTCTTACGGACGTGATTTCAATAAATTCCCCAAAAGAGAAAGGAAAAGGAAAGAAACGATTCTTCGAAACGTATGATCTCGAACACGTGCCTAGATCGCAAGCTTAATTGTTCTATCCTTTGCATATAATCTGCGTTGCACGTTTGCTTAATCGTTCGGCCAAGTCCGAGGAGCTGCTCGTTGCATCAACGACGAATAGAGCCAATTAGCTAAGTGCCACTGTCGGAATGACAAACAGGATGCCCGATACGTTCTAGGAGGTTCATGAGTGGACATAAGTTTTTCGGTAATCAAGAAACTGTGCTCGTACCGTAAAGTTCGATTCAGACTTTGCAACTGATTGCGGCCGACGTGTAGATGCTTCACCAACGGCGGTAACGAGCCTGGCATCATTTCTGAAATCGCATTTCCGGCCAGCAGCAGATGCTGCAATGTCGGATTGTACTGAAAACGATAAAATAAAAGGTACATAGTATGTAGTAAAATTGTATAAAATAAATTCGTCATTTAACTTATATATAGAAAAAAAAGAAAAAGATGAAAGGAAGAGAAGCATAAAAGGAAGAAAAAAATAGAAATAAAATAGTGATTTAAGGAGATCGTATACAGCAACGTGATGAACTATGAGTTTGATCAAGACTGAACATGACAGCTACACGATAAAGAGTTAAAATGGATTACTGAAGCAACATTGTTACATAGCCAAGAATTTTTTGAATCGTGCCAGAAGACCATGGTTCCATCGACAGTTCAAAGTATGTGTAGCCCGCATTTACTGAATTCAATCGATCCGAATCAACGACTGTTTACAGCTGTCGTGTGATAAACATTTTTCTTTGATAATTCATCACACGGATTGTTGTACCAAATCTTATCTGCTTTTCTTCTTTTCTTATTTAGATACGTAAGCTACAATATTATAATATTTAATTCGCCATCAAGCGTAACTTCAAGCCTGTCTCATTACTAGTTACTACACACAATTTGTTCTTTCGAGTGCTTCAAACTTTTTTATCTCAATTTTCCCTTCACTCCGAGTGATTGAAAAAGTTTCCCTAATTTCCGAAAAATCTTGCTCGACGACTATTGAAAGTCATCTAATTGAAAGTCATCTAAGCTCTAATAGAGTGAAGAGTTTCCAAAAAAAAAAAAAAAAAAAAAAAAAAAGAAAAGAAAAAGAAAAAAACGCGCGCGCGCAAGATCGTTGCGTTTCCATTATTTCCAGTTCGCGAAACATGCGATAAATAACGCGAGGCGAAGGGTGAAGAGAAGAAAATTTTCATCAAGTAGCACGAATCGTCCGAGAAATGATTGGCGGACAATTCTCTGCACGTGGCTGGTCACGTGCGCGACAAGCGCCAGGGAAACCCCACCATGCACTCTACTAGCTGTCTTCCTCTCTTCGAGATGAATTGTTCGTTCATACGCCGGCTACAAATACATCGCGAAGTCACGCGTAATGTGCAAAACGTGCTTAGAATATATTATCAGTACGCCGTGCTGATTTAATGAGTGTGATTGATGTAACAAAGGTGGGGAAGGGGGGGGAGGGAGGGAGGGGGAACAGAACGAAAGAAAACAAAGTAGCACAGAAAAATAAACGAACAAAAATAAAATTTTGATTCGATGAGAGTGTTCTCGCATAAATTCACGTAAATAGTTCACGCGCCGATCTGTGACGATTTATACATAATTTATTGTTCGATCCATTGAATCGTATTAGAATATGGTAATGCGTATATGCAAATTTCTTTGTACGTACAGCAATCATAACAATGAATAAGTAAAATGTTGAATGTTAATTCGATGCAAATGAGATCAGATTGCATATCTCAGACAGGAGTATTGAAGAAGTTGCATCAACTTTTCTAAATTGGTTGTTTAATGGCACGTTCTGCGTCCTCCTTCCTGTTTATACACCGTTTTCACACGATCCGGTGATTACAATTACCAATGATCCCGTTTTTCCATTTACTTTTTTTT